CTGTTGAAGATGAACCCAAATAGCTTCAACTTTTGGCAGTTGACGTTCTAACAAATGGCTCCATTCATGGATGCAACGTTGAGAAGAAGATATTCAACTGGCGTTTACTAAGCCCTGCTTCCAAACTGATTTCTTATGCCTTTAAAGCTCTTCTTTTTTTTTTCTCCTCAAAAGAGTTTCCATGCAGGGAAAGCCAACGGAATCCAAAGCCATAGAGACTTTTCCTAAAAAGAACTTTAGACACCACAAACGGATTTTCCTTTTATTTTTATTTCAGGCCGATTTCCGGATAGCTGCAACCGGAGTGGTGCTGGACTTGGATAAGTCTCTAAGGATTGTGAAGAAATTAAAGTTGATCGGCTTCCCTTTCAAAATCTTCAAGAATACGGCTTTTATTAAGGTAGGGGTTTTGAGCGCTATTTTGCAATTTGGTCCTTGGGGCCATGTGTTGTTCAGCTTTATTTATTTAAATTTGTTACGGCTACCCCCCTCAGAAGTTCAGAATTAAAATTTATCTTGATGTGATCTTTAATGCAACAATTTTTTAAAAAAGACCAAAGTAAATTTGGGTACACTTTGGGGAAAGTGTGGCTTATTAGAGACATGCCTGCCTTCATCTCTGGCAGAAATGGCTCTCTCCAAGACACTGTTCTGTCCCCATTCCGACCCACACACCCAAACAGCCAGCCGAGGGTTAAAGACTTCTCCAGACACCACTTCACAGATAAGAAACTTGGCAGCAGCTCCGTAGCTGCCTGCCAAGACCTTTTACTTCAAACACACAGAAACAAAAACAATACACACAGTTTAAAGCCACAGCACACTGCTTTGCCAGAGATTCAGCTTTTGTCCGTCACAGAGGTCCAAATGGCCACCACCACCCTTTTATAGCCTGTGGGGTGTGGTCCAGTGACTCAGCTTAATCTCTGGCGCGTCTCTTTTTCTGCTGCGCACGCTTATCGCTCCTACGCTGGCATGGATCCAGCCACAACTTTTCTTCCTCATTATCCGACACACCTGGCTCGTGGCCAATCTCAGAACCACCTGGCTCCTGGCCAATCTCTTCTCTGTCGGGAGACACCTGAGGCATTGCCAAAGAGGAAGGTCCTGGAGAGGGAGGCCTGGCCATCTCCTCTCCTTCATGTTCGGAGCCTTCTTCCTCCGATAAGAGGGGCTCACAAGATGGAGCCACAACAGACACCTCTGTTGATTAAACACACACACACACACACACACACACACACACAAAATTATAAGTAACAGAGGAAGGTGCGTTAGAAGACACATTGGTTTCTTGGTTGTTAATCCTGGTGCACAATAAATAAGAAATGTTCTCCCGTGCCACGCAGGGGATGTTTAATTCCGTGCTGGAGGTGGCTAGGTTTGAAGGCGCAGCCCTCCGCACGGTGAGCGGCATCCGGGGACAGATCAAGAAAGCCCTCAGGACCCCGGAGGGGGCTTTCCGAGCAACGTTTGAAGACAAGTTACTGATGAGCGGTAAGTTGGGTTTTCCAGCTTTGCACATCTGAAACTGACTTATTAGGGTCAGGAGGAGGATCAGGTCTGGGGTTGAAACCCCCCTCCCCGGTGGGCGAGTTGGGAAGGCAG